TCGCCCCTTGTCTTTTCAGGTGACGGGAGACCCCGGCAAGATAGCCGCCTTCCAGCGCGCCACCAGCAAGTTCCCTCTCAAGCAGCTGGCGCGTACAGGCAAGGTGAGAGCGGCGCACGGCCAAAGATCAGATACAAAGAGTTATATATACATTTATATAATATGTATATATACATGTATATGTGTATATATATGAAGCTTCTTCAGATAATAGACTTGCAGGGGGAATCCCGAAACATGAAACCCTGAAATGCTCTTGCATAGGTACGTTTTATAAGTCCAACCTGGGATTCCAAACTTAGGGAACCCCTCCTTCCTTCCCTCCTCCTATTTCTAGCAGATTGCGCTGCGGAGGACGAGCGGGTGTACCTGACTCCTCTGGGCGGCGAATATGACTTTTGATTTGACTTATAAGTCCTCCCAACCCAATTTCACTCCCTGTGGGTAGATTGCACTGCGGAGGGAGAAGGACGAGCGGGTGTACCTGACGCCTCTGGGCGGCGAAGTGACGACGGACGTGGAGGACGACATCGAGGCCGCCCGGCAGGCCGCTGCTATGGCTTTGGCTGGGCGGCGGACTGTGGCGAAGCGGGCGAGTGCTGCTGCTGCTAATGCCGACTCCGATGTGAGTTGAGGAATGTGACTTTGAGGGATGTGCGCAGGGGGATGGGAGTTGGGGGATGTGATTTGGGGGATGTGATTTGGGGGATGGGAGTTGGGGGATGTGATTTGGGGGATGTGATTTGGGGGATGTGATTTGGGGGATGTGATTTGGGGGATGTGATTTGGGGGATGTGATTCGAGGGATGTGATTTGAGGGATGTGATTCGAGGGATGTGATTCGAGGGAGTGATTTGTGGGATGTGATTTGGACTATGCTCTTTTGCAAAGGATGGTGCTGTGTGGTACCCGCCTGTGGTACGCCACCACCTTGCATTGTCTCCCCTAAGCCCAAAACCCTGAACCCGAACCTTGTTGTCCCTACATGCTTGCCAATGACGTGTATGCTGTCCCCCTCCGATGGCGATTCTGTGTGGTACCCCCCTGTGGGACGGCACTCCTTGGCATCATGTGCCCTAAAACCTCAAACCCCGAACCCCTGTCCCCCTTGTCCCCTTGCCACTCCCAGGGCGATGTGTATGCGACGCCCGCTGATGGCGATGCTGTGTGGTACCCGCCGGTGCTGTCGCCCACGTGGGGCAATGAGAACCCTGAGTTCTTCGACACCATGGTGAGGAGTGCAGCTGATAGTGGTCACAGACATGTGCTTTAAGGAATACCCGCCGGTGCTGTCGCCCACGTGGGGCAATGAGAGCCCTGAGTTCTTCGACACCATGGTGAGGAGTGCAGCTGATAGTGGTCACAGACATGTGCTTTAAGGAATACCCGCCGGTGCTGTCGCCCACGTGGGGCAATGAGAACCCTGAGTTCTTCGACACCATGGTAATGATTCATGAATACAGCCTATGACGAATACTGACATGTGTTTATAATGAATTCTCGCCCGTGCTGTCGCCCACATGGGGCAATGAAAACCCTGAGTTCTTCGACACCATGGTGAGGAGTGCAGCCGATATGATAAATACCCGCATGTGCTTTTAATGAATACATGCATGTGCCTGTAATGAGTACCCGCCCGTGCTTTGAGTCGACTCGAAACACGCCCACGTGGGGCAATGAGGACCCCGAGTTCTTCAACACCATGGTGAGGAGTGCAGCTATAAAATGATCACATTCTTGTGCTTATCATGAATATCTATTTTTGCTTATAGTGAGTAACTGCCCGTGCTCACCTCCCCCACCCCTCTCACAACTCTCCCCTCTCACCCCTCACTTCTGGTCCACAGGAGGGCGGATTCCAGCCACACACGCTCTCTCTCCTCGTCTCTGACACTTCCGGTGTTCTCAATCACATCACGGGTGTCTTTAAATAAACCCTAAAACCCTTCCCCTCTCACCCCACACCTCTATGTCTCACAGGAGGGCGGCTTCCAGCCACACACGCTCTCTCTCCTCGTCTCTGACACTTCCGGTGTTCTCAACCACATCACGGGTGTCTTTGCCCGCCGCGGCTACAGCATCCAGGTGTGTGCCTCGTAGCTTTCCTTCCTCCCTTTCCCTTCTTTCCCACACTTCCCCTCCTTTCCCTCGCTTTCCTCTCCCTCCCTCCCTCTCCCTCCTTTCCTGCACGCTCTCTCTCCTCGTCTCTGACACTGCCGGCATGCTCAATCACATCACGGTTGTCTTTGCTCGCCGCGGCTACAGCATCCAGGTCTGTGCCCGCTCGTTTCAACCCTTCCTTCTCCCTTTCCTCCCCTTCCGTCTCCTTGTCCTTCCTTCCCTTCCCCTCCCTTTCCTCTCCCCTTCCTTCCCTTCCCTGACCTCTGTTTCCTGTTTGTTTAACCGTTTTCTTACTCACCCTTCCTCAAACACCTCTCCTCCCGTTTCAGAGTCTGGCGGTGGGGCCAGCGGAGAAGCCAGGGGAGTCACGGATCACCATGGTGGTACCTGGAACTGAGCAGTCCAACAGCAGTCCGTTGATGACTTATTGTTTCTCGTTCTCTCCCTCCTTTCCCATCTCCTGTTCCGCCTTCTTGTCTGGCAGAGTCTGGCGGTGGGACCAGCGGAGAAGCCAGGGGAGTCACGGATCACCATGGTGGTACCTGGAACTGAGCAGTCTATCGGGAAGCTTCTGCGGCAGATCCTAAAGCTCATTGAAGTGATCAGCGTGAGTGGCAAGCTGGCATGCATGCTTGTGTGATGGCCACTGGAACGACCTTTGGATGTTTTTCTCACTGGTGTTTGCTTAAGGGGGTACACAGCAGTCCATCGGCAAGCTGCTTTTTGAGACGTCTTGAAAAAGCCTGCTTAAAGATCCCACAGCAACCGTTCTCACCAACCATTGTCGTTTCCCTGTTCCTTGTTATTCACCTCTGTGTTCCCTTTCAGGTGGAGGATCTCACCTACATCCCCTACGTGCAGCGCGAGCTGATGCTCATCAAGGTGGCAGCAGGGAGGGGGGAGCCGCGGCGGGAGGTGATGGACATTGCGTCTGTCTTTCGGGCGAGGGTGATCGACATCTCAAGGCGAACCATGACTCTTGAGGTATGAGACATGTCAAGGGCATGTATGACTCATCGCAGACCTGTGAGATACTAATATGGCATGAGGGAAGGACTGCTGCACTCTGTTCTCCTTCCCTCGCTCCGCGGCGGGAGGTGATGGACATTGCATCTGTCTTCCGGGCACGTGTGATCGACATCTCACGGCGAACCATGACGCTTGAGGTGTGTCATACCTTACCCTCTCTCACTGTGCCTCTCCCTCGGGAGGTGATGGACACTGCGTCTGTGTTCCGGGCGCGTGTGATCGACATCTCATGGCGGACCATGACCCTTGAGGTATGAGACATCTCGCCCTCTCTCACACTGGCTCCCGATTGAAATGCTAGTGGGCCTTACCTTGCCGTCGCTCACTGATGCATTGGGAGGTGATGGACATAGCCGCTGTGTTCTGGGCGAGGGTGATCGACATCTTACAGCGGACCATGACCCTTGAGGTACGAGGCATCTCGCCCTCTCTCACACTGGATCCTCGGTTGAAGAACTAGTGCCTTCCCTTGCCGTCTCTCACTGCTGCGGCGGGAGGTGATGGGCGTTGCGTCTTTCTTCAGGGCACTGTGATGGACATCTGTAAAAAGTGAGTTTTTGAGACGTCTCAAAAACTCCCTTTTAACTCAGGGCATGTGTGATGGGCACTGCGTCTTTCTTCAGGGCATGTGTGATGGACAATGGACATCTCAAGGCGCACCATGACCCTTCTTTTGAGTCGACTCAAAAGCAGAGGTGATGGGCACTGCGTCTTTCTTCAGGGCACGTGTGATGGACAATGGACATCTCAAGGCGCACCATGACCCTTCCTCTCCCTCTCTCACTCGCTCTTTTCCTCTTCCCGTTTTCACGTTCCGTGCATTTTCTTTCTCTCTTGTGTTCTCTCTCCGCATCCGCATTGTTCCCCATTGCCCCACCCTCAGCTCACCGGCACGCTCAAGAAGATGGCGGCCCTGCAGGGGCTGTTGGAGGACTACAGCATCCTTGAGGTAAGCTGACTCGATATATATATATATTAACGTCCTTCCTGTCCAGTTTCTGGTCCACTTCCTGTTCAACAGTATGAAGTTGCCCCTGGTCCACTTTGACCTCCTCCTTAAACCCCTTGTTCCCTCTGCGCTCTCTGCGCTGCTTGCCGTCTCTTCCCACCCTCCCTCCTTGCTAATTCCAGGTGGCCCGCACGGGGCGTGTGGCATTGTCGCGAGACAGTGGGGTCAGCACAGAGTATCTCGGCCAAATGGAGCCTCAGCACTCCATCTTTTAGAGCGGATGTGCAACAGTGTGCCGTATAGTGTGTCGCACATAGTGTGTGCAGCACATGGTGTGTAACAGTGTGAAACTCGTCGTGGAGCAAGTGTAACACCTAGTGTGTGTAACACAGTTGCGATATGCACCAGGCCCACAACGGCCAATCGCCTAGTATGCTGGCATGAGACATGCCAAAAGCGGCTAGTTGGAACTCAGCTAGATTGTATTGTACCAGTGCAGCAGACTTTGAAGTTTGCAAACCAATACACGAAGAGAAAAGGGAGTTTGAAATCAGGTACCATACCAAGCTGAATGTGCCAGTGCCGGTAACTCTGACAGAAACAACCTATCAATCCGCCATCACTGTCAATAAGCCTATTTCGAGTCTACTCAATAAAAGCTACATATGCTGGTGCCAGTACCTCTGACGAGCAACCCATCCGTCTGCCAGCACAGTCAATATGTCCTGCAGTACACTCTTTCTATAGTGCTTCACAATCATATGCGCACAAGTGCTGGAAACTAGACTGTATGCCACAGCGAATCACATGCCTGCCCATTTTCCTCAAGTCCCTTGAGGAATGTACGGTATGTTGCTGAAACAGAAGGTTGTGAGGAGGATATGATGTACAGTACTATTGCCTACTGTAGCATTTGCTTTGTCTTATCAAAAAGCAGGCGCTTGAAAACTAGATGCAGAGGCGCACCAGCTGTGGCCTCCTTGGGCAATGCACACTGGAACACCACCTGAGCAACAAAAGGGTAAACATGCAGACAACACAAGTGGGTTGGGAGGAAGGAGACATGAGGAGTTATTGTAGGTGAGAGGAGCAAGACGCGTGAAGATGCAGAGGTGCACCAGCTGTGGCCTGCTTGGGTAGTGGAGGGTTTTTTTGAGAATTTCCAAAAAACACAACCAGCTGTGGCCTCCTTGGGTAGTGCAGACTGGAACACCACCTGTGGGAGAAGGGAGAGACACGTGCGTGGGTGATACAACAAGCGGGGATGGCGGAGTGAGAAGTTAAGTGGGAGGTGCAAAATGAGTGAAGATGCAGAGGCGCACCAGCTGTGGCCTCCTTGGGTAGTGCACACTGGAACACCACCTGTGCGAGAAGGGAGAGACACGTGGGCAACACATGTGGGTTGGGTTGGGAGGAGTGAGGGATGAGGAGCTAAGTGGGAGGTGCAAAACGAGTGAAGAAGCAGCGGCGCACCAGCTGTGGCCTCCTTGGGTAGTGCAGACTGGAACACCACCTGTGCACAAACGGGTAGACACGTGGGTGATGCTACAAGCGGGGATGGAGGAGTGAGAAGTCAAGTGGGAGGTGCAAGGAGAGTGAAGATGCAGCGGCGCACCAGCAATGGCCTGGAAGTGTAGAGTGGAACACTTGTGAAAGAGAGGAGGGTAAAAATAAGGCAGTTGCTGTGAGGAGGGAGGAGGGAGGTGGGTGTTTTATCAATTGCCTCATGTGCAGACAGGAACATGGTTTTTGAGACATCTAGCGATTTTAGCTCAGCTACCTTACTCCCACTCCTTTGCAGACAGAAATGGGGCAGACAGAGAGCAAAATGATGGATTGACAACGCAGGATTGCACAGACTTGTGTGTCGACTTGCCTTGAATTTGCCTGATTTGCCAAACGGTGACTGAATTGTTCCTTGTGCTCCTGCCCAAAAATAGGAAGCGGGGGGGGAAAAGGCAGAGGGGAGAGAGGGCAATACTTGCACTCCTGCTAATTTCCCATCTTGTACACCCATTTAGTATATCACCTGACCTATCCTCGCCTTTCCTGACCTCTCCTGACCTCTCCTGACCTCTCCTGACCTCTCCTGACCTCTCCTGTCAACATAATGATCCACCCACCTTCCATTATGGAGACTCGGAGCCCCACAATTTTGGAGATGTCGGTTTCCTTCTTGAAGGGCCCTCGGCTCGGCCAACGACCCACCTGCCTTCCGCGTGTGCTGAGTCGATTTTTGAGTCGACTCAAAAACCGGCTCAGCCAATGACCCACCTGCCTTCCACTGCAGGGTTTGCTGAAAGAGCCCTCCGCCACACACTCAGCCCCACCGTCCTTGTCACTTTTGAGGCGCCTCAAAAGACCTTGTCACTTTTGAGGCGTCTCAAAAGACCTTGTCACTTTTGAGGCGCCTCAAAAGTCCTCTAGTCACTTTGACCCACCTTCCACTGTGGAAACTCGGAGCCCCACGAATTTGGAGATGTCAGTTTCCTTCTTGAAGAGCCCTCGGCCGATGAGAGAATGCGAGTCAACCACCCGGTCGATCACTCCCTCCCTGCTCTTCAGCTTGTAAACACGCAGAGGCTGAGTGGGAGTGACAAAAGGCAGGGATGGAGAATGAAAGAGAGTGGGGAAGATGAGGGAATGGAAATCAACCACCTGGCTGATCACTCCCTCCCTGCTCTTCAGCCTGTAAATCCGCGTATGTTGAACGGGAGTGACGAGAGACAGCGAGACGGGGAAAGTGAGAGTGGGAAGGATGGGTCAGTGAGGACCAACTGCCTGGTCGAGCAAACCCTCCCTGATTTTGAAGTGATAAGGAAGGCGGGGAGATGGAGAATGAGTGAGAGTGGGGAGGATAAGTGAATGAGAATCCACCGGCTCATCACCCTGTGGAATGATTTCTACCTCAGGACCTGAGTGCAAGGTGGTGACTTATGAGGCGCCTCAAAGGTGGTTGGATCAACTTTTGAGGCGCCTCAAAGGTGGTGGGATCAACTTTTGAGGCGCCTCAAAGGTGGTGGGATCAACTTTTGAGGCGCCTCAAAAGAGAATCCACCGGCTCATCACCCTGTGGAATGATTTCTACCTGAGCTTGGCATGGGACGTGAGTGCAAGGTGGTGACTTATGAGTCGACTCAAAAGTCACCCTGATCACCCTGTGGAATGATTTCTACCTGAGCTTGGCATGGGACGTGAGTGCAAGGTGGTGACTTATGAGTCGACTCAAAAGTCACCCTGATCACCCTGTGGAATGATTTCTACCTGAGCTTGGCATGGGACCTGAGTGCAAGGTGGTGGGACCTGAGTGCAAGGTGGTGGGATCAATGAGGGCGAGGATACAGAGATGGAAGGCCATGCGGCACACGCTGGTGTCTGCCTGCACGTGGCGCGAGGAGGTGAATGGATACGCCCCATACCTTTAAGCTGTGTGCCATACCTGTGTGCGATGCCTGTGTGCCGTACCTGTGTACCTTATCTGTGTGCCGTACCTGTGTACCATACCTTTCTTCTGTGTACCGTACCTGTGTGCCATACCTGTGTACCATACCTGTGTTCTGTGTACCGTACCTGTGTGACATACCTGTGGACAGGCACCTCACCTGGGAGCCTGAGTGCATGGTGGTGGGATCAATGGGGGCGAGAATACAGCCATGGAAGGCCATGCGGCACGTGTTGGTGTCTGCATGTGGGACGAGGCAGGATGGATGGATAAAGGCCGTCAGATCTTAACAAGACGAACACATGGCAACAACCTTATGTTGTTCACACGGCTCCCGGCCAATCAAGAATAGGGAATATTTCAAGGGCGTGAGGTTGTGTTTCAAGGGCGTGTTTCAAGGTTGCGTTTCAAAGCTGTGTTTCAAGGGCGTGTTACAAGGGCGCGCTTCAAGGGCATGGTTGCATCTTACGGATATCAGAGTCGAGGCGAGATGCTATCAGCAAAGCGTCACTCGGACATGCGATCTGCGAATGCCATGCCATGCCATGTGATGTGATGTGATGTGATGTGATGTGATGTGATGTGATGTGATGTGATGTCAAAACAAACCAGGAGGTCATCCCCTGCCATACCGCATGTGAGGAAAGGCCTAGATAGCTCTTGAGAACATATTGGCTAAGAATTCTCACAGACTCTAACACTGAGAGGGAATATGAATTTGATGCGACCCACTCGAGTCATAGAGAACCTCAGATCATCGAGTGGGCCGCATCAATCCATTGAGAACCCACTCAAGATGAGACCTTGGCTGAGACGAGATCATCGAGAACTGCAGTCGCAACAAGACATCGAGTCATGAGTCGAGACGAGTCATAGAGTCACGACTACCTCGGATTCAAACACTGGGAGGGCGCAGTGTGTGTGTGTGTGTGTGTGTGTGTGTGTGTGTGTGTGTGTGTGTGTGTGTGTGTGTGATGGCGCTTAAAAGAAACCGACAAGATGAGACGATTTTTGTGGCGACTCAAGAACTTTAGTCATAGGTACCTCGGATTCAAACACTAGGAGGGCGTAGCGTGGCCGTGATGGAACCTCAGATGTGTGCTCCTGGTGCTGCTGCTGGCCTGGTGATGGTGCTGCAGGAAACAGGTTGCAGAGGGTTGAAGAAGGAGGGTGGGAGGGAGGATGAATCGATGAGAGGAGAATCAAGGCAGATGGCGAGTCAGTTGCGTGCTCCTGGTGCTGCTGCTGGCCTGGTGATGGTGCTGCAGGAAAAAGGTTGAGAAAGGGGGGAGGAAGGAAGGCAGCACAGCAGCAGCAGCAGCAGCAGCAGCAGCTAAGTGCAATGGCAGGCAGCACAGAACTCTGTGATTTTAGAACTGGTTCAAAAGCCACCATGATAGCACAGAAGCACAGTGCAACGATATCTTTGAGCGCACTGGTAAGCAGCTCTCACAGGCAGCACATTGTGATTTCTGAGGCGATTGAGGCAATTTTTGAGACACCTCAAAATATCTTTGAGCGCACTGGTAAGTAGCTTTCACAGGCAGCACATTGTGATTTTTGAGGCAATTTTTGAGGAGCCTCAAAATATATTTGAGCGCACTGGCAAGTAGCTTTCACAGGCAGCACATTGCCTCACCGGATGGCGGGCTGCAGGCTGGCGGGTTTAGTGCTTAGGTTTCAAGGTAAGGGTTCAAGGTTCAAGGTTTCGGGTTACGGGTTTAGGGTTTGCCGCAGCAGCACATTGCCCCAGCAGCACATTGCCCCAGCAGCACATTGGCTGAACATCAACCATACCTGTGCTTAGTTGTTGCCCTGTGCCTGACGGTGCTGAGAGCGTGTCACTGTCTTGCAAATTTTCCTGCAAAGCACATGCATGCAGCAGCAGATGCAAGAGTGAATTTAAATTGGAAAAGCTATCAGTCAGTTAAGACGGAACTTCTTACGTATGATTTTGAGTCGACTCAGTTTTAAGTCGACTCAGTTTTGAGTCGACTAAGAACACACTTGTCCAGAGCTTGGAACGTAAAGAAACTTGTGCTTTTTTCTATTGTCTCGCCAAGTGGGGGTAATGTGTATGAAGAAATGCTTTGAGACGTGTCCAAAGCTTGGAACGCAAAGAAACTTGTGCTTTTTTCTCTTGTCTCACCAAGTGGGGGTAATCGAGAGAGAAATCGAAAGGCGAGCCTGCTATGGGGAGGAGATGAGGAGAAAGATGAGGGGCAAGACGGGAGAAAGGTGGTGCTGGGTGGAAATTTGTAAGCTGACTTGGTAAATTTATGCCCGCACAAATTTACAGTATATACACACACATATATAGATACACAAACGTATATACACACATATATATATATACATATATAATTGTTATAGACGTCATAGTCATGCAAGATGCGGGCTAGAAAGCGAAAGATGACAGCTCAAACAGGAACTGACGTGCTGACTAGAAAGAAAACAACGCTTTTTGCAGAGGGAGGAAGCAGAGGAGTGCAGAAGCAGAAAAGAAATGCACCTGACGATCCACCTGATGCGAGGTTTGTGGAAGAATGTGGAGAGGGATGAGCGAAGAAGGTGACAGTTGTCATGACTGTGGAGTGACCCACCGTTACTGCGTTGCGGGGAAGGAGGAGGGCGGGATGGGGAGGTAGGAGGTGAGGAGAGGTAGGAGGTGGGGGAAGGGGAGTTCGACTCTGTTCAAAAGAAGGTGACAGTTGTCATGACTGTGGAGTGACCCACCTTTACTGCGTTGTGGGGAAGGAGGGAGGGGGGAAAACGAGGGCAAGGGAGGGAAACGTGGTGCATTGAGTTGAGTGAATTGAGTCAACCAAAAGCAAGGTAGCAGTAGTCGTCACATGGTGAGGTGATGAGGCGCCTCAAATTCCGTCTTATCATATGGAGGTTGATTTTTGAGTCGACTAAAGAATCGAGTCAAATGCCGTCGTATCACATGGAGTTCGAACAGAGAAAAGTGAGAGTGGGAGGGTGAGAGAGTGAGATTAGAGTGAGAGAGTGGAGAGTGAGGGAGTGGAGTGTGAGGGAGTAGAGTGTGAGGGAGTGGAGTGTGAGGGAGTAGAGTGTGAAGGAGTAGAGTGTGAGGGAGTAGAGTGTGAAGGAGTAGAGTGTGAGGGAGTAGAGTGTGAGAAAGTAGAGTGTGAAGGCGTAGAGTGTGAGGGAGTAGAGTGTGAGGGCGTAGAGTGTGAGGGAGTAGAGTGTGAGGGCGTAGAGTGTGAGGGGGTAGAGTGTGAGGGCGTAGAGTGTGAGGGAGTAGAGTGTGAGGGAGTGGAGTGTGAGGGAGTAGAGTGTGAGGGAGTAGAGTGTGAGGGAGTAGAGTGTGAGGGAGTAGAGTGTGAGGGAGTTGAGTGTGAGGGCTGGACGTACCATGAAACTTAGAGTTTGAAGTGAGGGGGCCTTTGAAGAATCGGATGGGGTGGACGGCTGCGATTGCAGCAGAGAGCAAAGGGACTGAACCAGGAGCAGCCTGCATGCTACAAGGGGGCATATGGTTGGGCAGAGCGGGACTATGTGAAGACCCCTAGTGGGGTGGGGAGGGCATGGTATGGGGTGTGTGTTTACATATTTGCGTATGCAAGGAGCTCATGCCACAGAAAGGAATGGCTGACGTCAGGAGAATCGACTCGAATGAGCAGCATGGCACGTAACTGCAATTCCTCTCTCGATGAGCTTTGGGTCAAGCTGAGTGACACTGAGACCCACTCGGTCGCCCTGCCACAAGCACTTGAACAGTAGGCGCTCATCAGCTCAGAGAATACCGTGCATTGAAAAAAGAAGAAGAAGCAAAAATCAATCAAACAAACAAATAAACCAATGCAGCGAAGCACACTCACCTGGGATGCACGAGTTACTGGTTTGTGAAACATTTGCATGCTCTTGATCTGCATGCAGGAGGAAGGTCACGGCACATCATATCATATGGCATGATGGCAAAACACAATTTACATGGGACATCACGAGTATGATGGCACTACACAATATAGACGGGACATCATATGGCATGATGGCATATCAAAATACATGAGACGTCACATGTTCAGTCTGTCCGTGGTAATGGAAGATGCTCACCCGAGGCGAACCCCAAGCCGTGAGACAAAAATGAAAGGGGAAGAGGAAAGTGCCGTGACGAGTTTTGAGACGTCTCAAAACCCTTCTTCAATCACGTAATGCGGACAAAAATGAAAGGGGAAGAGGAAAGTGCCGTGACGAGTTTTGAGACGTCTCAAAACCCTTCTTCAATCACGTAATGCGGACAAAAATGAAAGGGGAAGAGGAAAGTGCCGTGACGAGTCAGGCTGTGGCAGACAACCCCCGAAACCGTGCTGCGAAAGAAAGAATCCTTGTACAAAAATGGTGCTTATGCCTGCCAACGGAACCCAACCCAACCCAACCCAACCACACAAGCTACATCCACTCTGCTCTGCACAACGTCTGATTCTTAAGTTGACTAAATAATATGACCCTACCTTTTTCTGCAGCTTGAGAAGAGGCAGCTCCAGCGAATCATTCACTGCCACGTGGCCTCTCAGCACTGTCCCTGTCATCACCGTGCCCTGCAAAGTTGCAAACAAGGGTTCGGCAAACGAGGATGTGGCAGGAAAAGTGAGGCATCAAGGGGACTTTTGAGGCGCCTCAAAAGTCGTCTCATTACCCGCAATTTTTATACTGAGGCATCAAGAGGATACCCGTTAAGAGATATCAAGAGGACGCACATGGGTGACCAAGCACCCATGCACATGGGAGAGATATCAAGAAGACACCTGTCAAGAGGGCGTGTGCATGCAATGTACACATGTACCTGAGTGCACGTTGAGATCGCATGCACCTCTGAAAATCACCTGACAGGTAGTTGAAATCACCTGACAGGTAGTTGAAATTACCTGGCCTTTGATTGGAAAGCAGTGGTCGATGGCAAAGAGGAAAGGGCCGTCTGATGAACGAGATATGGCTGGGGAAAGGGAAGAGGGTTGCAGGGAGAAATGAGGGTTGGAGGGAGGGGAGAGGGAAGAGAGGGTGGGGGAAGGGAGGACAGGGAGGGAGGACGGGGGGGCAGTGGTCCTTGATTGGAAAGCAGTGGTCGATGGCAAAGAGGAAAGGGCCGTCTGATGAACGAGATATGGCTGGGGAAAGACACTGAAGGAAAGGGAGGGAACGAAAATCATAAAGGAAATGAAATGAGGGTACTATGAAAGGAAGAGAGGGTGCAGAGTTTGGTGGAGAGGGTGCATTCTCAACAACAGGGAGTTTTACAGAATGCTCTAAAACACCCTGCAGAAACAGGGAGGAGACATCTCAGAATATCATTCATCCCAGTAGGGAGCAGCCCTTCCAAGTGCATTGAGGTCGTTTTTGAGGATTCTGAGGCCCTCAAAAACGACCTCAATGGGAACAGCCGTTCCAAGTCTCTTCCTTCCTTCCTTTCCGCCCCTCTGAGAAGAGGGTGAGAGAGAGTGTGAAACGGGTGCCTATCACTCACAGGGCACTCGTGCCATGAGCTCATTAATGACGTCAGCTATGCCCTCTGCTGCAGCTGCAGCTGCTGCTGCTGGCTGTTGTGCTGCTACTGCCGCTTCTGGTGCTGCTGATGGCATGGCTGCTGCTGCTGCTGCTGCTGTTGCAACCATGGCAGCATCGGCAAACTTGGTGCCTTTCAACGTGGCTCGCAGTCTCTTCCTCATCTGTGAGAGTGAGGGAAAGAGGTACAATGAGAGACACAGTTTGAGAGTTTGAAAGAGTGCAAGTGGTTGATCGGCAAACTTGGTGCCCTTCAACGTGGCTCGCAACCTCTTCCTCATCTGTGAAAGAGATGGGAGAGAGATGTAAGCTCCATTTAGGACAGAGACATGCTGCTGCTTGTGCTGCTTTGGCTGATGGCACGGCTGCTGCTGCTGTAGCAGCCATGGCAGTGTCGGCAAACTTGGTTCCTTTCAACGTGGCTCGCAGACTCTTCCTCATCTGTGAGAGTGAGGGAAACGAGGTGCAATACTTGGTGCAATAAGAGACACAGTTTGAGAGTTTGAAAGAGTGCAAGTGGTTGATAGGCAAACTTGGTGCCCTTCAACGTGGCTCGCAGCCTCTTCCTCATCTGTAAAAGAGATGGGAGGGACATATAAGCACAGCGAGTGAGACAGAGACACGTTGGAGTGACTTTTGAGAATTCTCAAAACAGTCTCTTCCTCATCTGTAAAAGAGATGGGAGAGACATATAAGCACAGCGAGTGAGACAGAGACATGCTACTATCAAGTTCAAAGTGCATCACGAAGGAGCAAACGACATGTTTAGAAGCAGTGTGAGGGGCTGTTGTCCCGTGATTTAGTAGCCACATGTGCGCTTCAATCCATATAATTCGTTAGGAATCCATTCATCCATAACAGTCCCTCAAATGGAACGGCAACAACGAGCCGCTGCCATGGTAGAAAAAATGGAATACTGCCTACCATTTGAGTCGACTCAGAATAGCCACGTGTTTGAAGAAGGGTTTTGAGACGTCTCAAAACCCTTCTTCAAAAAAATGGAATACTGTCTACCATTTGAGTCGACTCAGAATACTGTTTTCACCTGTTCAGACTGTGTTCTTTTGCTTACCAAGATACTCCCCATTCATGACCCTACCCACCTTATCGATCTGTGCTTGCTTCGTGGCAGCAGGCAAAAGGTCCTGGTTGATTGAGATTTGATTGAGGAACGGAACGGAAAGCAGGGGATTGATTGAGAAAGAAGGTGCAAGGAGCCGGAGAGAAGGGAAGGGAGGAAAGCTGCCATGATGGCATGGCACGGCGAGGAATGGCATAACGTGGCGCAGGACATGGCATGGCATGGCATGGGGTGGTATGGCATGGCATGAAATGGCAGGGAATGGCATGGCATGAGTGCATAATGAGGTACCGTTTTGTTGAGCACAACAACCATTTCCTTGGTGGGAGACACCTCGCCCACCACCAAACACTGCCGATGCACGTACGGGTAAGGGAAGAAGGGTGGAGACGCGAAGAGAAGCGGCGAGAAGCTTTAACAGGGGATTGTCGTGATGGCGAGAAATGCCGAAACTGAAAAGAGATTGGAGACCAAATTGTGTTACGAATGCACCAATGTCTAAAATTTGTTACGAATGCACCAACGTCTAAAATTTGTTACGAATGCACCAACGATGTTAGAGACCAAATGCCTTTTTTAGTCACTGCTCCTCCTCACCTCTGCTGTCTTGGTCTGAGTACCCTTGGTGACGTCACTTGTCAAGTTTTGTGTATGTACTCTTTTTTTTTGTGTTTTTTTTTTCTTCTTCTTCTTTCTTTCTTTTTGTGAGTCTCACGAATCCCCTCACCTCTGCTGTCTGTGTCTGAATGCCCTTGGTGACGTCGACCACAAGCAGCATCATATCAATGATCTGTGCTCCTGATGACGGGGAAGATGGTCACAAGGAGGAGGAGGAGGAGGAGGTGACGGGGACTTCAGACATGTTTGAAAGGCACCAAAAGTCATTTTCTGGTGATTGACAACGGCAATCATCAATCAAAGCATTGAGTGATTGATAGGAGACAGAGGTCGAACCTCCAATGATGGTACGGATGAGAGAGGCATGGCCGGGGCAGTCGACGAGAGTAAATTGGACCTTGTCGTATGGGATTCGATCCACTAAGGATGGGGGTACGTCCACCTGGGGGACGCAGGAGAAGAGAGGCGCACGCAGGAGAGGAGGGCGGCAGGAATGTTTTGAGGCGCCTCAAAACTAGGCATAAATGGCAGTCAATGAGGTGAGTTGACTTTTGAGTCGACTCAAAAGTCAACTGAGGGGACGCGGGAGAAGAGAGGCGCATGCAGGAGAGGAGGGCGGCATAAATGGCAGACAGTGAGGAAATAAGTGGACGGCTGAGAGAAGGGGTAGAGAGGCAGGTTGCAAGTGAGAGGAGGACAGGTGAGGTGAGGAGGCGAGGGATGGAAGGAGGGATTGTGAAGTGAGGCGTTTCAAAGCTAGAGTAGGTGTAGGAGTGGGGGGGGGGGGGGGGGGGGAAAGGGGCGCGAGGGAAGGAGTGGAAAGGAGTGCGAAGAAGTGGTGAGGTGCGACGGAGGAGGGCAGATGAGCTGCACGAAAAAAGCACTGCAAAGCTAGAAGCCACCTGGAAGTTACCTGGAAGGTACCTGGAAGGCACGAGGAAGGCACCTGGAAGGCGGAGAATCCAAGGTCGAGGGTGATCCCTCTCTCTGCGCTCTGCGGGTGCTTGTCCAACGCGGCTGTGCTCAGCAGCGTGCTCAGCGCCCTGGCTGGGGAAGTGAATGGGGGATACATGGGGGGAGTATGGGGGGAGTATGGGGGGAGTATGGGGGGAGTATGGGGCGGCATGAGGATACACTCGTGCGCACCCCTCCCTCTCCCCCTCTGCAAGCTCTGCGGGTGCTTGTCCAATGCGGCTGTGCTCAGCAGCGTGCTCAGCGCCCTGGCTGGGGGGTTGTATGGGGAGGGTATGGGGGGGGTATGGGGGGAGTATGGGGGGAGTATGGGGGGTGCATGGGGGGTGCATGGGGGGTGCATGGGGGGTGCATGGGGGGTGCATGGGGGGTGCATGGGGGGTACATGGCGGGAGCATGGGGGGTGCATGGGGGCATGGGGATACACTCTTGTACATACTCCCCCCTCTCCCTCGCGGCCCTCTGCGGGTGTTTGTCCAACGCGGCTGTGCTCAACGGCGTGCCCGTTGCTCTGGATGGGGTTAGGCGGGGGGGCGTGTGGAGGAAGGATGGGAAGGGGAGCATCGGAGCAGACTCCGCTATTATTTTCAATGCACTCCCTCTCTCCCTTTCCGCGCTCTGTTCAACGCTCAGCGCCCTGCCTGGGGGCGGAGATGACTTTTGAGGCGCCTAAAAATTCCTTTCCGCGCTCTGTTCAACGCTCAGCGCCCTGCCTGGGGGTGGAGATGAGGCGGCGTGTGAAGGGGAGGGGATAGGACGTCCCAGGGAGGCGGGGACCACGATACTACTCCGGCTTGCGTGGGACGAATTTCGTGTCGTGTTGCCACGTGTCGGCTTGGCTCACCGAGGCTCGTCTTGCCTTTTGAGGATTCCCATTGACTTGTGAGAATTCTGACAGTGGGGATTCTCAAAGTCAATCCAGTGCGTGTCGGCTTGGCTCACCGAGGCTCGTCTTGCCGCTATCGATATGCCCCAGAATGCCGACATTCACGTTGAAGACACGTGGCGCGGCGTTACTGGGTAAGACAGGTGGTGGGTCACCAGCTGGTGCTGCTGACGCTGGCGGCGGTGGCGACGGTGGCTCCATCGCCACGAAGGTCGTCGCACGAGAGCTGGGGTCGCAGAGATGGTCGCTGCACGAGGGGCAGAGACTCATGGGTGGTCTTCGCTGGCTGTCAATTTCTGATCCGTTTGCTGTTTGCCGTTTGTTCGCGTTTATGCAAGTGCTTGTACCGTACACTTTACAACATGATTTGTTTGAAGGAAAGAATTATGAAGTGAAAACACAACCCATGTACATCTCAGCACACTATGGTAGTGGAATTAGAAAAATATATAGAGAAAAGGCGAATAAGCAGATATTCACAGTACATCAAAGCTGAGAGAAAATTAGAAACAAATAAGTAAAAACATTGCGTCTAAGTTCCGTTAGAGTGACTGGGATGGGATGGGAACCACTAAGCATGCAAGAAACGTGAACTCTAGGTGAAATAACCACCCTTCGCCTTGTTCCTGAGCATGTCTCACTATGAGGCACCTCCTAACAGGACAATGTAAGTGACATCCGTTGTGTTGAGGTGCCTGGAAAATCTTATCGGTTCCTTCCTTTATTTCCCATGATATCATCAGTGCTCCTGCCTGTTCCCATCTCTACTCCACCCTCTCCCTTCATGACACGCCTGCCTGCTTCCTCTGCTGCACATCTCAAGGCACGCAAACACCCTTCCCTAACAAACCAGGAGGGCTCCTCCTCCCCGTCTGTTCCTTTCTCCAAAACCTAAAACTTTGGGTGAGTTTTTAGGCGCCTCAAAAAACAAGCCAGGAGGGGCTCCTCCCCCTCTGTTCCCTTCTCCAAAACCTGACAGGGACTCGAGAGGGAAAATTCTACCTTAAGTCAACGCGAATGACACCCCTCAGCTTCCAATAGGGCTCCCATCCACATCACCCCTTCTTCCCCCAAGACGTTGATCGCCACACAGGCCCCCCTTCAAACTTGCCCCTCGCACCGCCGCCAAACCTGATGTCTGGCCGGTTCTCTCCCCCACCCCCTTGCTCTCCTCCTCCTCCCCCTGCTCCTCCCCCTACTCCTGCTCCCGCGCCTCCTCCTCCTGCCCCTCTGTTCGTGCTCCCAGCCCCTCCACCAGTGCTCGTCCCAGCCTCAGCCCCTTTGAAGCTGACTAGCTTCTTAAACAGCCCCTCGGGTTTCAAGATCGGCCCCTGCTGGGACTGCTGCGGCTGCTGCTCTGCTATCCCATTCCCGTCCCTCCCATTCCCCTCCTCTCGACTGCTGGCGGGACGCTTGAAGCTGGGAGCACGGAGCGCACTGCCCGATCTCTTAAAGCTGCCCGTTTTGCTCAAGCTGCCCGACTGAGCCAAAACCCCTCCTGCGCCCAGGCTCCAAGTCCCATCCCTATCCCTAGCCCCACCCGACCCACCACCAGTCCCTCCAGATCCTGGCCTTTTGAAACTATCCGCTTTCATGAAGCTGCCTTTCTTACTCTCCAGCCGTACAAACTGCTTCACCCTCCCTTCCGGCCCATTCTGCTCCTGCCTCTGCTGCTCCCGCTCTCCTGTTGCCGTCACCTCCCTGATCGCTTCACCTCCGGGAACAGAAGCGCTGCGGAACCCTCCGGCTCGGGCCACAGGGCCCCCTTGGAAAGCCTCGGACTTATTGAACGAGGCTGAACGCATTGACTCTGCTCGGAACGACCCTGCCCGCTTGACTGGCGTTGACTCGATTGACTCCCTCCCCTCTCTTGCATCTCTCGCCTCTCTTGCTGCCTCATTGCCGAGGTTAGACTGCTGGAAAGACCGTTGCTTCCGGAACAGATCTGCTTTGAACGAAGTTGTTGACTTGAAAGAGCCTGCCCTGAATTCGCCGTTTTTGAAAGAGCCTCCTCCCTGCGACGCGCTTCCCCTGGCGAAACGCCTCTTGAGGGAATTGCCTGACTTCGGACGACCGCTGCTGCTGGTTGGTCGGTCCGCATTGCTGAAGCTCCTCCCACCCATGCTTCCTACTCGGTCGAACGCTCCCCCCCCTCTCTCCTCTCCTTCTTGTCCAAAACTTCTGAGACGCATCACAAGTCGACTGGTGCTGCTGGTGCCTTCAGCGTTCTTGAAACTCCTCCCACCCATGCTACCAATTCGGGCAAACACACCCCCTCTCTCCCCTTCCTCTGCAGAACCACCGCCGAACCCACCTGCAGCATCAAACCCAGCAGCAGCAGCAGCGCCATCACCACCAAAACCACCACGAGCGCTGTAATTGCCCAAGTCAATATGCTGCAGCTGGTTGGTGACCAGAGCGGAGTGCACGTCAGGGGGGTCTTTCCACCCCAGCCCCACGAGCAGCGCGTGAAAGAAATTGATCTCCATCATCGTCTGCACCCCCGAGCGCATGCTTCCCCAGAAGCCCCTTCCCTCCTTTGATCCCTTGCTTTCTGTGCTCCCTTCCTCTGCCTTGCCCTTCCTGGAGGACCTGCAGTGAGAATCAGCGCAGGGGAGAAACGTGGGCCGGTGGGGGAGAGGGACGAGGGAAGAGGGAGGGACCGTAGCTATCAAAGTCGATATGCTGCAGCTGGTTGGTGACCAGAGCGGAGTGCACGTCAGGGGGGTCTTTCCACCCCAGCCCCACGAGCAGCGCGTGAAAGAAGTTGATCTCCATCATCGTCTGCACACCAGCTCGGATGCTGCCCCACTCCCCGCCTTCGCCTCTCTCTTTTGATCTCTTGCTGCCTTCCGTGCTTCCTTCCTCTGCCTTGCCCTTCCTGGAGGATCTGCAGTGAGAATCAGCGCAGGGGAGGAATGTGGGCGGGGTGGGGGAGAGGGAAGAGGGAGAAACCGTAGTTGTCAAAGTCAATGCCATGCCTTCTCCTTCCTGGACGACCTGGCAGCCCGGCAGTAAAAGCCAACCCGGCACAGTGCAGTACACCTGATTTTTCACCTCCTCAACCAAACAACTCACCCTGCTTTGCTTCCCTCCAGTTCTTCCTTCAGCTCCTTCTCCAGCTTCCGGCAGTAGCTCAGAATCCTGTACCCCGTATAAGCCAACCCAGCACTGTGCACAGATGTGATTCCCTTTACCTGTGCTCACCTTATTGGAAGCCAGATTTGCAACTCACCCTGCTTTGCTTCCCTCCAATACTTCCTTCAACTCTTTCTCCAGCTTCCGGCAGTAGCTCAGAATCCTGTACCCCGTATAAGCCGACATCGCGCAGTACACAAGGCAGCACAGCACCGCGACCGCGCTATAAATAACAAAGAGCGTCCAGAAGTTCTCGGGGCCGAGGCTAGTAGAAGAAACGGAGGGGCCGAGGGAGCAGGAGGTGGAGCCCTTGATCCAGAAGTCGTGCATGCTCTGCAGCTGCCCCGACTGCGCCAGCTTTGAAATGGCGATGGAGAGGTCGTAGGGCACGCGCATATCCTTGTGGAAGGCCTAGGTGGGGGGAGGAGGGGGGGTTGGGGAGGGGCAGGGGAGCAGGGGGGCAGGGGGGCAGGGAGACGGAAAAAGTGTCAGCAAGGGAGTGGTGGCAGGAGGAGCGTCCAGAAGTTCTCGGGGCCGAGGCTGGTGGAGGAGACGGAGGGTGGGAGGGAGCAGGAGGTGGAGCCCTTGATCCAGAAGTCGTGCATGCTCTGCAGCTGCCCCGACTGCGCCAGCTTTGAGATGGCGATGGAGAGGTCGTATGGTACGCGCATGTCCTTGTGGAACGCCTGTTGTGTGTGGGGGGGGAAGAAATGGGGAAGGGAGGGCAGGGGCAGGATGGAACAGGAATGGGCAGGGAGTGACAGCGCCAGCTTTGAGATGGCAGTGGAGAGATTGTATGGCACGCGCATGTCCTTGTGGAAGGCCTGGTGGGGTGGGGGGGGGGGGGGTGGGAGGGGAGGAGGGCAGGGGAAGGATGGGAGGGAAGGGGAGTGGGGGCTAGCTTTGAGATGGCGATGGAGAGGTCGTAGGGGACGCGCATGTCCTTGCGGAAGGCCTAGGTGGGGTGGAGCAGGGGAGCAGGGGGATGAGGGGATGGGCGGGTGGGGAGAGGGGAGAGGACAAGGGCGCAAGAATGGCGGAGGAGGGGGTGTGGGGAAGGCTTTGAGATGGTGATGGAGAGATCGTAGGGCACGCGCGTGTCCTTGTGGAACGCCTGGGGGGTGGGGGGGAGAGGGGGGAGAAGTAAAGAGAGAAACAATGAGAACAGAGAGGGCGGTGGAGGAGACAGAGGGTCAACAAGAGAGAGCCATTGCACATGTATCTTCATACACCCACAAAAACAGCAGCATCACTCACAAAGCCCCAGCTGAAGGTGGAAAGCTGCTCCTTCGCCCGTGTGTAGCTGCAGAAGCGCGAGTTGAACACATCCAGTCCAGATACAGCGCCTCAACCCTTGACAGCCCTTACCATACACCACGCCAAATGCACCAAGCCAAGCAGCATCACTCACAAAGCCCCAGCTGAAGGTGGAGAGTTGCTCCTTCACCCGTGTGTAGCTGCAGAAGCGCGGCTTGAACACGTCAAGATACAGCGCCTCATTGGCCTCATTGAACAAGTCAAGATACAGCGCCTCATTGGCCTCATTGAACACGTCAAGATACAGCGCCTCATTGGCCTCATTGAACACGTCAAGATACAGCGCCTCATTGGCCTTACACAACATGCACTAAGCCCCCAACACCATGCCAACCAACCCCACTTACAAATCCCCAGTTGAAGGTGGAAAGCTGCTCCTTCGCCCGTGTGTAGCTGCAGAAGCGCGAGTTGAACACATCCAGTCCAGATACAGCGCCTCAACCCTTGACAGCCCTTACCATACACCACGCCAAATGCACCAAGCCAAGCAGCATCACTCACAAAGCCCCAGTTGAAGGTAGAGAGCTGCTCTTTCACGCGTGTGTAGCTGCAGAAGCGCGAGTTGAACACGTCCAGATACGGCGCCTCATCAATCACCGCCTTCACCTTGCCTGACCCCAGGGCGTCCGCGAATTCAGCCATGGATTTCAGCGGAAACAGCACTGACTGTTGGGAGGGGTGGGAGGGGTGGGGCATGAGGGGTTGGGGCAACAGAAGTGAGAGTGAGTCTCATCAATCACCGCCTTCACCTTGCCTGACCCCAGGGCGTCCGCGAATTCAGCCATGGATCCCAGAGGGTACAGCACTGACTGTTGTGTGTGGAGGAACGGGGAAGTGCAGGGTTCCGGGGGAGGGGTAGAATGGGGGCAGCGTGAGTGAGTCTTGTCAATCACCGCCTTCACCTTGCCTGACCCCAGGGCGTCCGCGAACTCAGCCATGGAACTCAGCGGGTACAGCACTGACTGTTGGGAGGAGGAGGGGGGGGGGGGGGGGGGGTTGGGAGAAAGCAGAGGGCAAGGGGGAGGCAATAGCGGTGGAGAAGGGGGGGATGTGGATATGCGGATAGCATGAATGAGCCTGTGAATGAGATTGCATGCGTACAATGGGGATTAGACAGCACAGCCTGCTTACAAAGGGGATAAAAGTGCTGAAAACAAGAGTTGGCAGGAGTGGATTGTGGGGAATAGCGGGCCTGCTTACAGCGGGGATGCCGATGGCCAGGAGGTAGTTGTAGGTGAAGGAGCCTTCGTGGTAACCAAGAGGAAGCTTCATAGAAATTGCAACAGCAAGGCTCTGTGTTGGGGTGGAAGGGGTTTGGTGGGCGGGGGGAGGGGGTGATGGGGATGGATGGCGGAGAGCGAGCGGGTGATGAGGATGGATGCAGGAGAGCGAGCGGGTGATGGGGATGGATGCAGGAGAGTGAGCGGGTGGCATGGCGGCATATCGTGGATAGACCAGCCATACCAATTGGGGTTGATGAGGTATTGGATTTCCAGGTGCTAGGAGGGGGGAGGGCTGCCAGGATTCAAGTTCATAGTGGAGTAGCAGCAATCCTGAAGGAAATGCTTAAGCAACGAAGGAACGAGACTGAATTTCCAGGTGCATTGAGGTCGTTTTTTAGGCGCCTCAAAAACGACCTCAATGCACTCGGAGTAGCAGCAATCCTGAAGGAAATGCTTAAGCAACAAAGGAACGAGACTGAATCTCCAGGATTGCTGCTACTCCACTCCACTATGAACTTGAATCCTTGGGGTTGACGAGGGCTTGGATTTCCAGGGTTGCCAGGGATGCTCACATCAGGGGTGGCAGCGAGGTTCTGAACGGTGAGGATGGAGGAGAGGGAGGCGGTGTAACTGGCAGTGACGATGAGCACGAGGAAGAGCCAACACATCATGGCGAGACGCCCCATGGTCGTCTGAATGGGCTTGTCTGCTCACGTGGCATGGCATCACATCGCATGTCAGGGTAGGGTACGGGTGTAGCGGAGGGGAAAAAGGGGGGGGGGGGGAGAGAAAGCTTATCAGGAAGAGCCAACACATCATGGCGAGACGCCCCATGGTGGTCTGAATGGGCTTGTCTGCTCACATCACATCACATCACACATCAGTAGGGTAATAAGGGGTGTAAGCAGATGGGAAACGGAAAGGAGAGAGAGAGAGGGGAGGGGTGGTTCTGTAATGAGGCAATAGAAGGGTTGATAGCTGTATAATGAAGGGCCATCATGTCATGGTTTAGCACACAGAGTGTGGTGATGTACGTATAGTTAACGTGTGGTGTATGGATGCTAATAACATGAATGAAGTGACACAAACGAGCAGGTGAAGGAGGGTGGTTGGGAACATGCAGCATTTCAACATGGGGCAAGCAAGCAAGGTGGTCAAAGGCAAGCAAGCAAGGTGGTCAAAGGCAAGCAAGCAAGGTGGTCAAAGGCGTAGCAAGCAAGGTGGTCAAAGGCGAGCAAGCAAGGTGGTCAAAGGCGAGCAATCAAGGTGGTCAAAGGCGAGCAAGCAAGGTGGTCAAAGGCGAGCAAGCAAGGTGGTCAAAGGCGAGCAAGCAAGGTGGTCAAAGGCGAGCAAGCAAGGTGGTCAAAGGCGAGCAAGCAAGGTGGTCAAAGGCGTAGCAAGCAAGGTGGCCGAAGGCGTAGCAAGCAAGGTGGCCAAAGGCGTAGCAAGCAAGGTGGTCAAAGGCGAGCAAGCAAGGTGGTCAAAGGCGAGCAAGCAAGGTGGTCAAAGGCGAGCAAGCAAGGTGGTCAAAGGCGTAGCAAGCAAGGTGGCCGAAGGCGTAGCAAGCAAGGTGGCCAAAGGCGTAGCAAGCAAGGTGGCCAAAGGCGTAGCAAGCAAGGTGGCCAAAGGCGTAGCAAGCAAGGTGGCCAAAGGCGTAGCAAGCAAGGTAGCATTCTAGGCGCCAAGCCAACGAAGCTAGGTGGGTGAGAGAGATTATTCAGCATTCCACCATGCGGGGCAGTGGTCGAAGGCATACCTTGTGCAAAGACGATCGTGGTGAGCGCATACCTGCAGAGCACAAGAGAGGAACACAGGGGGTGGCACAGGGGAAGAGGAATCGACTGGGGTTACAGGGGTTGCTTTGGCGGAACAGGGGGAGAGGATACGGCCGGGCTTAAAACGGGGAGGGTAAGGAAAATCTTAATTAAAGGGAAGGAGATAGGCCCTTTATAAAAAATGACCACGCGCCCATGCTTGAACCACGCACCCGTGCTTGTTGGCTCCTACCTAGGCCACCGCCGTAAAGTCAACAGGCTTGCTTGCAGGTGCAGACTGGAAAGACCACGGTCCTTTCGACTCACTTCGGCGATAAACTTTGGGATCGATTCATGTCTATACGCCACTCAACAGGCCATAGCTTACCAGACGCTGTCAATGATCTGGCTGGAGAGCTTGGTGTGGGCGTAGAAGGAAGAAAGGTAGCTTTGAAACAGGTGTGAGAATCCCAGCCACTAGACCACTAAGATAAAATGGCTTGTTTCAGTAGCGGGTCAGTGCGCCCATAACCCCCCAGGCTAACATGCCTGTAACCCTTCCTAGGATCAATCGGTGCAGGTCTTCTGACAATAGGGCTTGAGGAAACAGGGTAGTCAGGTCAGGTTGGCTTACTAGACCCTGTCAATGATCTGACTGGAGAGCTTGCCGCGGGCGTAGAAGGAAGAAGGGTAGCTTTGAAACAGGTGTGAGAATCCCAGCCAGTAGACCACTGGGATAAAAGGACTTGTTTCAGTAGCGGGTCAGTGCGCCCATAACCCCCCAGGCTAACATGCCTGTAACACTTCCTAGGATCAATCGGTGCAGGTCTTCTGACAACAGGGCTTGAGGAAACAGGGTAGTCAGGTCAGGTTGGCTCACTAGACACTGTGGTTGATATGGCTGGAGAGCTTGCCGTGGGCGTAGAATTCCCAGAGAGGCAAACAGACAAGACAAGCAACAAGGGGGGTGACGAAACAGGGGAGTGGGCTAACCAGATGTTGTCGGTTATCTGGATGGAGAGCTTGCCGTGGGCGTAAAAGTCCTCGTTTTGGCCTGTAAGGACGTCTCAATAGTTGTCTTACCACCTGACGCTGACTGACCAACAGACTAGGGTACGCTCATCTATATGTTGCCAAACGGACCACCGCTTACCAGACGCTGTCGATGATCTGGCTGGAGAGCTTGCCGTGGGCGTAGAAGTCCTCATTCTGGTTCTTCTCGAGGAACCACACGGCGAAGACGGTGAAGACGGTGGATGCGAGGATGACCAGCCACATGGTGAGCGAGAAGGGCGTCAGGAACGACCACGCCCCCGTGCTTGTGGGTTCCTGGGCCACCGCCATCGACAGGCTTGCGGACTGGAGGTAAAGGAGGGAGGGAGGGGTGTGTAATGACTTTTGATTCAACTCTGACATCACCTTCACAAGGGCAAGAGGAACGACCACGCCCCCGTGCTCGTCGGCTCCTGGGCAACTGCCATCGACAGGCTGGCAGACTGGAGGGAACGAAAGGGGCAGAGGTTGATTTGGCGTCTGAGTCGCGTCAAAAGGAACCTAAAAAGGGGCGACAGGAACGACCACGCCCCCGTGCTCGTTGGCCCCTGTGCCACCACCATGGAGAGGCTTGCAGACCATAGGTAACGGAGAGAGGGAGGGGTGGAACAGACGATTCATTTGAATCGACTCAGAAGTCATGGTGAGCGAGAAGGGCAACAGGAACGACCACGCCCCCGTGCTCGTCGGCTCCTATACCACTGCCATGCCATAGACAGGCTGGCAGACTGGAGGGATGGATGGAGGAAACGGGGTGAACGGGTTGAACTGTGAAGCATGGAGAACGGACTCTGAAGCCACATGGAGATGACCACACGCCTGTACCTGCAGCCTTGGCTGTACCTGCACTGGCTGTACCTGCACTGGCTGTACCTGCACTGGCATACCTGCACTGGCTGTACCTGCACTGGCTGTACCTGCACTGGCATACCTGCACTGGCTGTACCTGCACCAGGCCAGATGTACCTGCAACACTGGCTGTACCTGCACTGGCTGTGTGAACTGCACGAGCTGCTGACGCTCCTGTGTGATGGTGATGTCCCCGACTGCCCCGTCAAATGTCTGCATGCACGGTGGAGTTGGGAGGTTGGAAGGGAAAAAGGGGAGGACGAGGATTGACAAGAGAAGGGGACAGATGTTCTTTGTAGGCTACACTAAATGATGAAGAATCGAAATAATTGCCACTCAATCCACTTGACTCTTGAATCAGCCCCGGCTCAAACTGTCGGTGGTGGTAGCGGCCATCTCAACTACACTCACCTTGTTCGCAACGAGTCGGAGCATGTCAGTGTAGCTGAGAGAGACTGGTTGCCGACGCCACAGGGCACAAACTCGAAGTCCAGGGTGTAGGGCAGCAGCCCCACACTGCCACACAGCCCGTAATACTCAACTCACGCCCTGGCTACCCATCCAAGCACCCCCCTGTTCCCCCATCCCACCTTGCTTGCGACCAGTCGGAGCATATCCGTGTAGCTGAGAGACTGGTTGCCAATGCCACAGGGCACAAACTCGAAGTCCAGGCTCCAGCGTGTAAGGCAGCAACCCCACTCTCTAACATAAGACTCAGCCCAAGCCCAAGCCCTTGTTTTGTTACCTACCTTGTTTGCAACAAGCTTGAGCATGTCGGTGTAGCTGAGAGACTGGTTGCCGACGCCATAGGGCACGAATTCGAAGTCAAGCGTGTAGGGCAGCAGCCCCACTGCCGCCCGGCCCGTAATAATAATATTCAACTCACGCCCTGGTTACCTATCCAAGCAAGGACCCCCTGTTCCCCCATCCCACCTTGTGCGACCAGTCGGAGCATATCCGTGTAGCTGAGAGACTAGTTCCCAACGCCACAGGGCACAATCTCGAAGTCCAGGCTCCAGCGTGTAAGGCAGCAACCCCACTCTCTAAGATAATGAAATCACTTTTGAGAATTCTCAAAAGTGATTTCAATACAACCCCACTCCCTAACATAAGACTCAGCCCAAGCCCAAGCCCTTGTTTTGTTACCTACCTTGTTTGCAACAAGCTTGAGCATGTCGGTGCAACTGAGAGACTGGCTGCCGATGCCATAAGGCACAAACTCCAAGTCCAGCGTGTAGGGCAGCAGCCCCACTGCCGCCCGAAAGACTCAAAGCCCTTGTTACTTACCCAGGCATGTCCCATCCGCTGCTCCCCTTGTTCTCACCTTGTTTGCAACAAGCTTGAGCATATCAGTGTAGCTGAGAGACTGGTTGCCAACGCCATAGGGCACAAACTCGAAGTCCAGCGTGTATGGCAGCAGCCCCACTGCCGCCCGAAAGACTCAACTCAAGCCCTGGTTATTTATCCCACCTTGTTTGCAACAAGCTTGAGCATGTCGGTGTAACTGAGAGACTGGTTGCCGACACCATAGGGCACGAATTCGAAGTCAAGCGTGTAGGGCAGCAGCCCCACCGCCGCCCGAAAGACCTCCACACAGAAGCCGGTGATGGTGTCGTTGGTGGCGATCTGCACAAACTGCGTGAAGTCCTGTTGTGGGTAGGAGGTTGAAGTGGGGAGATGGAAGGAAGGAGAGGGAGAAGCAAGGGAGATGGAGCACCCGAAAGACCTCCACACAGAAGCCGGTGATGGTGTCGTTGGTGGCGATCTGCACAAACTGCGTGAAGTCCTGCTGTGGGTAGGAGGTTGAAGTGGGGAGATGGAAGGAAGGAGAGGGAGAAGCAAGGGAGATGGAGCACCCGAAAGACCTCCACACAGAAGCCGGTGATGGTGTCGTTGGTGGCGATCTGCACAAACTGCGTGAAGTCCTGTTGTGGGTAGGAGGTTGAAGTGGGGAGATGGAAGGAAGGAGAGGGAGAAGCAAGGGAGATGGAGCACCCGAAAGACCTCCACACAGAAGCCGGTGATGGTGTCGTTGGTGGCGATCTGCACAAACTGCGTGAAGTCCTGTTGTGGGTAGGAGGTTGAAGTGGGGAGATGGAAGGAAGGAGAGGGAGAAGCAAGGGAGATGGAGCACCCGAAAGACCTCCACACAGAAGCCGGTGATGGTGTCGTTGGTGGCGATCTGCACAAACTGCGTGAAGTCCTGTTGTGGGTAGGAGGTTGAAGTGGGGAGATGGAAGGAAGGAGAGGGAGAAGCAAGGGAGATGGAGCACCCGAAAGACCTCCACACAGAAGCCGGTGATGGTGTCGTTGGTGGCGATCTGCACAAACTGCGTGAAGTCCTGTTGTGGGTAGGAGGTTGAAGTGGGGAGATGGAAGGAAGGAGAGGGAGAAGCAAGGGAGATGGAGCACCCGAAAGACCTCCACACAGAAGCCGGTGATGGTGTCGTTGGTGGCGATCTGCACAAACTGCGTGAAGTCCTGTTGTGGGTAGGAGGTTGAAGTGGGGAGATGGAAGGAAGGAGAGGGAGAAGCAAGGGAGATGGAGCACCCGAAAGACCTCCACACAGAAGCCGGTGATGGTGTCGTTGGTGGCGATCTGCACAAACTGCGTGAAGTCCTGTTGTGGGGGGAGGAGGTGGGAGGGTGGAGACGGGGATCAAGAGAGGGAAGGGAGAGGGGCCGCGAAAAAGAGGGGGAAAGAGGCATTCGAAAGACCTCCACACAGAAGCCAGTGATGGTGTTGTTCGTGGCTATCTGTAGGAACTGCGTGAAGTCCTGTTGTGGGTGTGAAGGAGTGGGAAATGGGGAGAAAGGCATGGAGAGAGGGAGAGAAAGAAGCAAAGGGGGAGGGAGAGGAGGTGCAATTGAAAGACCTCCACACAGAAGCCAGTAATGGTGATGTTCGTGGCTATCAGCACCAACTGCGTGAAGTCCTGTGGTGGGTAAAGGGAGTGGAACACAGCACACAGAAGAGCGTGAAGGTGTAGTTAACTGGAGCCGGAGCCCCAGAGGGCACCTGAGCGAGTGGCTTAGGACGCACGGGCTCTTGATGGATGGGTCGTGGGGCGGGTTCAAGCTGGGCCGTGGCACATGCCGAGCTCATACCTACCTGAGAGAGAGAATCACATCTCCTTGGAACGCTGCACGCAAACAACTTTTGAGGCGCCTCAAAAGTGGCACATGCCGAGCTCGTACCTGAGAGAAGGGAAGAACATCTCTTTGTTGGAACGCTGCATGCAAACAAGCTTGCCTGTGCTGTGGTACTTGTGAGGAATTACCTGCTTGAATGGCACGGCGATCTTCAATGGTGTGTGCGCACGTGGGAACCAGCCACGTGGCAGCTGTGCGGAAAAACAAACAGGTGGACGGGCAGGAGAAACACGGATTGGAAAAAAAAAAAAAAAAAAAAGACAAAAAAAAAAAAAGATGGACACGAAACGTGGACTGGAGATCAAACGCATAAAAACAAACTGGACAAGTGACTGACAGATAATGAATGTGCGTAACTTGTATGTCGTATTTATCTGCCCTTCTCAGCTAGAGATGTGTGTGCATTGTGCAACTGCGATGCGAGTGAGATTCTCGCACAGAAGGTGTATCACTTCTGAAAAGGTCTCAAGAATGTGATTCAGCAACTCACGAATGAGACCCCGCCCGGCCAGATGACGCCTGCCAGCACCGATTGGCTGGAATCCTTGGTTGTCGATGAGGGCTGGTGAGAGTAGGGTAACACACGGGAAAAGAGCTGGATTATTGTAACAAAAAAAAAAAAACAAAAAACAAAAAAACGCAAGGAACACTGCATGTTGCTGTGAGTACCACTAGCTAGTAGTACCACTCCACTCCACTCCCCCTCACCTTCTGAGTCGACTAAAAAAAATGGAACGGAACACTGCAGGCTGGTGTGAGTACCTGTACCACTAGCTAGTAGGCTAGTAGTTTCAATCCAGTCCCCCTCACCTCGAGGGACGAGGAGAGGCCGTTCTCTGTGGTCCAGTGGAGCGCAGCCTGGTCTTCTGACATTTTCCAGTGAGCAGCAGTGCTTAGGTTCAGGCTTAAGCAAGTAGGAAAAAACAGTTGTGAATCTAACACTAGCCGCCGTGCATTACTACGCGATTTTCCTCACCTCGAGGGACTAGGAGAGAGGCCGTTCTCTGTGGTCCAGTAGCCAATGGAACGCAGCCAGCCGTTGGAGCGGTGCGGAGGAGCTGGGCTGGGTGCATTACTACAAGACTTGTAGTACCAGTGCTTTCCCTCACCTCAAGAGAAGACGAGAGGCCATTCTCTGTAGTCCAGTAGCCAATGGAGCGCAGCCGGCCGTTGACCGCATTGACTATCTCAAACGACGTGCCGATGCGATCACCCTGTGCGTCCAGTGACACTCTGTTGGTGGAGGTGGGAAGGGAGAGGAGCGGGAAGGAGGAAGGGAGGGAAGATTTTGTGGGGGGATCCAGCAGATGCAAGCGTAATGAGTCGAGTCTTGAGTCGACTCAGATGGATCCAGCAGATGGAAGCGTAACTTTTGAGTCGACTCCAATGGATCCAGCAGATGGAAGCGTAACTTTTGAGTCGACTCAAATGGATCCAACAGATGGAAGCGTAACTTGTGAGTCGACTCCAATGGATCCAGCAGATGGAAGCGTAACTTTTGAGTCGACTCAAATGGATCCAACAGATGGAAGCGTAACTTTTGAGACGACTCAAATGGATCCAACAGATGGAAGCGTAAAAACAGCAACCAGGATGAATAAACCTGACGTTGCAAACCAAAACTCAACGCAACGCACACATGCACCACCAGTATTATTGCACAAAGTCTCGTAAGAGTTCACTTCTCACAAGTGATGCGAACTCGACTCCGCAATGAAAACCTTGGCTAGCCCGCTCACCTCCCTGTGGCCCCGTCTGTCGATTGTCGTTCCTATGACAGCCGCCATGAGCCGTGTGAAACATCAATGCACGAACCCTCTGATGCACCGCACGGCACCGCACCGCACAGCACAGCACGGCACGGCACGGCATGGCACGGCACGGCACAGCACAGCACAGCAACGCACAGCACCTCACAGCACCTCACAGCACCGTACCGCACCGCACAGCACAGCACCGCACAGCACCGCACCGCACAGCACAGCGCCACCACTAACATGCACCGCTCACCTCCCTGTGACCCCGTCAATTGTCGTGTGTGTGACTGCCGCCATGAGCTTTGTGCCATCTGGGAGGAGAACAGGACAGGTGACGAGACAGAGAGCAAGGAGAACGGACTGGCATATCAATGAGCAACAACAGCAGGCAGGCAACAACAACCCCCAGGGCAACCGCAGCAGTCACGCCCAGTCAGCAACCCCATCGATGGTCGTGCGTGTAACTGCCGCCATGGGCTTTGAACCTCTGCACAAAGGGCAGGTGAGGAGAGAGATAGATAGGGAGCACTGGAGCAAGGAGAACGGACTGGCATGCCAATGAGCAACCACAGCAGGCACGCCCAGTCAGCAACCCCGTCAGTTGCCGTGCGTGTGACTGCCGCCAGCCATGGGCTTTGAACCTCTGCACAAAGGGCAGGTGAGGAGAGAGATAGATAGGGAGCAAGGAGAATGGAGAACGGACTGGCATGCCAATGAGCAACCACAGCATTCAGGCAACAACAACCCGCAGTGCGACTGCAGCAGCCACGCCCATTGAGCTCAGCAGCATGCTCATGGCAGCCATGAGCTTTGAACCGTCTGAGAGGACCCGCCTCAGAAGGAGAGAGGAGTAAGTACGCACACATGCGAGCCAGAATGGGGCCAGAATGGGGCCAGAATGACTTTGACGCGCCTCAAAAATGGGGCCAGAGAGGGGCCAGAATGGGGCCAGAATGGGAAGGGAGTGTGTGGTCATACACTCACTCGTGCTCCCTAATATGCACTCACTCGCACTCCCTCCCTACCATGCACTTACTCGCACTCCCTATTGCGCACTCACTCGCACTCCCTATTACGCACTCACTCGCACTCCCTATTATGCACTCACTCCCTATCATGCACTCACTCGCACTCCCTCCCTATCATGCACTCACGCACGCTCCCCATCATGCACGCACCAAGGTTCTCCAGCAGCCGAGCCAGGTCAGTAGACGCCCCCCCTCCTTTTGGCAACTCCACCGCTTGCCACCGCTCTAAACCCACCACTCCCCCACTCGTACCCCCCGCCACCGCCCCCACTACCCCTGCTGCTGCGTCTCCTCCTGCCAGCCTCCCAGTGCTATTGACGCCGCTGTCACTGCCACTGGCGTTGCCATTGGCAGCAGGAGGAGGGGCGTTGATGGGGGGTAGGGAGTTGGGGTAGAGAAGCGCGTGGATGGAGTGTGCGATAAGGGAGAGGGAATCGTAAGCAAAGAGAGTGTAGAGTGTGGTCTGCAGGGGGAGAAGGGGCAGGTGGGGAAGGGGCAGAGGGTGGGGGGACAGGGGGAAAGAGAGGTGAGCAGGGAACAGTAGGAGAGTTGGGGTAGAGGAGCGCGTGGATGAAGTGTGCGATAAGGGAGAGGGAATCGTAGGCAAAGAGCGAGTAGAGAGTGGTCTGCAGGGGGGAGCATGGGGGAAAAGGGGTGACAGGGGGAACAAAAAGGGAAGAATGGTGAGGAGGGAGGGGTGAGAAAGAGAGAAGGGCTGGGAATGGGAAACAGCTTGAGGTAGAGCAGCGAGTGTATGGCGCAGGCGATGAGGGAGAGAGTGTTGTAATTCCATATTTTATACAACATGCATAGGCTAGACTTAGATGTGTAGCACTCTTATAAATTGGGGGGTTGGTTAGTGTACCCTCCAACCACATTTTGTGGTTGGTGGGGATTGGTCCTTACCTCAACCAATCCCAACCAACACACTGTGGTTGCTTGGGCCACAAGCAAGCTCACCCATTGGCCAACTTATTGGCCAATAGGGTAAGCTTCCCTCTCATCTCTCCCTTGCTCATTGCTTGTACTAAAGAGCCTTTTGGCTCATTATTCAGTGCATCAATTCTCTCTCTTCTAACAGAGAGAGTCGTGGGTGTCGCCTCAAAACTCCACCCGCCCTCTTCCCCCCTTCGTTCTCACCTCGTCAAACGCGGCTGCACCATTGGTCGTGTTCCCGTCCCCGTCCGCCTGCCATGCGCGCTCAAACTCAGAAAGCTCTTGAGGCGCCTCAACCCCCCCCCCCCCCCCCCCCCCCCCCGTTCTCTCTTTGTTTCTCACCTGATCAAAGGCCGCATCACCGTTGGTTGCATTCCCGTCCCCATCCGCCTGCCACGCGCGCTCAAACTCAGACAGCTCTTGAGGCGCCTCAACCCCCCCCCTCCCCCTCTCCCCCCCCCCTTCTCCCTTCGTTTCTCACCTGATCAGCGGCCGCACCACCATTGGTCATGTTCACGTCCCCGTCCACCTGCCATGCGCGCTCAAACTCAGACAGCTGGGGGTTGGGCGGCACGAAGACACGCGTGCCGATCATCCCTTCGGTGGAGAGCTCCGGCAGGTTCTCTAGCTCGGACACCACCCCTTCGGTTGCGATCCATACGTAACCTGGCGTCATCATTCCAACTTCTGAAGCTGCTCACGGGTGAGGGAGAGAGCGGGCAGAGAGAGGCACGGAGGTGTTTGTTTGTTGCTGTTCTTTCTGTCAAAGGTTCTCCAGCCCCCAAGGCTGGGGGTTGGGCGGCACGAGGACGCGTGTGCTGATCATCCCCTCGGTGGAGAGCTCCGGCAGGTTCTCTAGCTCGGACACCACCCCTTCGGTTGCGATCCATACGTAACCTGGCGTCATCATTCCAACTTCTGAAGCTGCTCACGGGTGAGGGAGAGAGCGGGCAGAGAGAGGCACGGAGGTGTTTGTTTGTTGCTGTGCTTTCCGTTACAGGTTCTCCAGCCCCCAAGGCTGGGGGTTGGGCGGAACAAGGCAGCGTGTGCTGATCATCCCCTCGGTGGAGAGCTCCGGCAGGTTCTCTAACTCCGACGGCACTCCCTCTGTGGCTATCCACACGTAGCCCGGCGTCATCATGCCCACTTCGGATGCTGGAGGGTAGCAGATGGGGCGAGTGGGGGCATGGAAACACAGGGCTGAAGCACATCCCTTCGGTGGAGAGCTCTGGCAGATTCTCCAGCTCCGACGTCACTCCCTCTGTGGCGGCTATCCACACGTGGCCCGGCATCATCATTCCCACTTCTGATGCTGCTCACGGGGAGTAGGGGCACGGGGAGGGTGGCAGCATGGGAGGGTAGGGGGAATGGAAAGAGTGAGCTGAAGCATATCCCTTCGGTGGAGAGCTCCGGCAGATTCTCCAGCTCCGACGTCATTCCCTCTGTGGCGGCTATCCACACGTGGCCCGGCATCATCATTCCCACTTCTGATGCTGCTCACGGGGAGTAGGGGCACGGGGAGGGTGGCAGCATGGGAGGGTAGGGGGAATGGAAAGACTGAGCTGAAGCATATCCCTTCGGTGGAGAGCTCCGGCAGATTCTCCAGCTCCGACGTCACTCCCTCTGTGGCGGCTATCCACACGTAGGTTGGGGTCATCATTCCCACCTCGGAATTTGTTGTGATGTGAGAAGGGGGCGGTGGAGGGAAGGAGAGTATGATGAGCTCCAGAGTCCAGACTGAGCAGCAGGATACATACCATACCATCAACCTATAACCAACTGTCTATCTATCCACGTTCCAGCAGTGAGAACAGGCACAAACGATGAGCTAGAGGTTGAGCTGGAGAATGAAGACCGTGGACTCCAGTCCAGCTTCTAAGCGGCGAGCAGGCGAGCAAAAGTGCGACCACAGGCCTGGGACAAGCAGAACAGCACTCACCCTACCAGCACCCTGCCTACCAGCAAGCAGTCAACCCACCAGCAGTGAGCACGGGCACGATGAGCTCAAGGTTGAGCTGCAGGATGAAGACCGTGGACTCCAGCTTCTGGGCAGCGAGCAGGCAAGCAACAGTGCGACCACAGGCCTGGGACAAGCATACCGGAACTCACCCTACCAGCACCCAGCCTACCAGCAAGCAGTCAACTCACCAGCAGTGAGCACGGGCACGATGAGCTCGAGGTTGAGCTGGAGAATAAAAACAGTTGACTCCAGCTTCTGAGCGGCGAGCAGACGCACGATGATGTCTGAAAGAGATGCATCCAGGGGAACGGCGATGCTCTTCACCACGTCCACTGACGCCTGGTGGTGGGAGAGAGAGGGGGGGAGAGAGGGTGGGTGGGATGGGGGGAGGGGATAGATGGAGGGGGTGTGATTATCAGTCAAGCGATGCTCTTCTCCACGTCCACTGACGCCTGGTGGGAGCAGGGGTGAGCGGGTGGAGGAAGAGGACACAAGGGATGGGGAACAGCCTATGAGTTGAGTTTGGGCAGAGAGAGATGCATCGAGGGGCACAGCTATGCTCATCACCACATCCACTGACGCCTGGTGGTGTGAGAGGAGCGGTGCAAGAGAACACGGGCAGTGGGATGGGTTGGGGGGGTGGGGTGTAACAGCAGACGCACGATGATGTTGGAGAGAGATGCATCGAGAGGCACAGCTATGCTCATCACCACATCCACTGACGCCTGGTGGGGGGAAGGAATACACGGAGATGGGAAGAGGCGGGGAGGTGGGAGAGGAAAAGGTGTGAAGGAAGGAAAGGAGAAAAGGACCTGGGGAGGGTACCTCAATTTGTCAGGCAGCACTGCCAACTCACCTTATCTGCCAGCTCACCTTATCTGCCAGCTCACCATATCTGCCAGCTCACCATATCTGCCAGCTTACCATATCTGCCAGCTCACCTTATCCGCCAGCTCACCTTATCCGCCAGCTCACCTTATCCGCCAGCTCACCTTATCTGCCAGCTCACCTTATCCGCCAGCTCACCTTATCCGCCAGCTCACCTTATCCGCCAGCTCACCTTATCTGCCAGCTCACCTTATCCGCCAGCTCACCTCATCCGCCAGCTCACCTTATCCGCCAGATCACCTTATCCGCCAGCTCACCTTATCCAGCAGCACCGCCAGCTGGTTGACTCCGTTTCGGCCATAGTCGTCGTCGCTGTATATTGTGATCACCTCCAGCCAGCTGAAATGCGTCACTAGGTCTGGGGGATGGGAGTGAGATGCAGGGGGGCGGGAAGAGGTGGGGGAAGTGTGTCACGAGGTTGGGGTGGTTTCTGCCATAGTCGTCGTCGCTGTAGCTGGTGATCACCTCCAGCCAGCTGAAATGCGTCACCAGGTCTGCAGTGAGGAAGCAGGGAGAAGCAGGGCAGGCAGGTCACGGATGAGTGGGGGGAAATGAGGAGGGGATGGCCTGCCATCGTCGTGAGTCATCGTCGCTGTAGATGGTGATCACCTTCAGCCAGCTGAAATGCGTCACTAGGTCTGGGGGATAAGAAGAAATGGAGAGTGGGGCCTCCCCACACTCACAATCAGCCATTTGTCACGTGCTGCTATGCCCATCAACATGTATCACCAATTGACGATAGTATGAGGAGCCTCCAAAATCGCCAGCTGATATGCGTCACTGAGTGTGGGGAATAAGAAGGACTGGGAAACGGGGGGGGGGGGGGGGCACACTGACAACCACACATGTGTCACGTGTTACTGTGCCCATCAACACGCCCCACCCCCATACCCATCAGTCCCGACCACATCACATCTCACCCGCGATGGCCTGCATCTCGAGAGCGTCGCTGCGGATGGTGCGAGTGAAGAAGGGGTAGGAGGCGGCTGAGAGGGAGGGGTCCGTGGCGGAATAGGATACCATGGGGACCTGATGGTAGACAGAGGGAGGGGAAAGTGGAGGGGGGTGGTGGGTGGGGAGACAATGGGGAAGGGGGGTGGGGAGGGAGAGGTGGAATATGGCGATGGTGGTGTGAGCCAGGAGCTGGTAGGAGGGCGGCGGCATTGTTTGTGACTTTGTGAGTCAACTCAACTCAACCGTCCCTGGGGCTGGACGCATGCATGCAATCACGCACGCACCCATGCAAGCAATCACGCACTTAAGTATGCACGAACGCTCTCACACACACGCTTACAGACGCACAAACGAGCGCTCTCACGCACTAATGCATGCACGAACGAAACGCAAGCAAGCAACTGAAGCACGCACCTGCACTTGCGTGTGGATGGCGGAGAGCACGTGCGCCTGGGAGGAGGTCATCGGCCCCACTGCTGCCACTACCCCCAAACAGTCTCTGGAAACACTCAGCCCACCAATCCCTGGGAGATGCACGCACGCACGCACACATGCAAGCAAGCACGCACCTGCACTTGTGTATGGATGGCCGAGAGCACGTGTACCTGCGAGGAGGTCATTGGCCCCACTGCTGCCACCACACCACCCTCTGAACCAGCAATGCCAACTTCTGGTCGACTCAACCCACCAGCCCCTTACTCGAGGTTGCACACATGCACGCAACTGAAGCACGCACCAGCACTTGCATGTGGATGGCGGAGAGCACGTGCGCCTGGGAGGAGGTCATGGGCCCCACTGCTGCCACCACCACCAAACACTCTCTGGAAACACTCGGCTCACCGATCCCTGGGAGATGCACGCACGCACGCACACCCACATGCAAGCAAGCACACACGCACCTGCACTTGTGTGTGGATGGCGGAGAGCACGTGCGCCTGGGAGGAGGTCATGGGCCCCACTGCTGCCACCACTCTCTCTGCTAGCTAGCATTCTGCCCTTATGGGTCACCACGCCACAAGCACGTAATGCAATCATGCACTGCAAGCACGCTGCACGCACCTGCACTTGTGTGTGGATGGCCGAGAGCACGTGCGCCTGCGAGGAGGTCATTGGCCCCACTGCTGCCACCACCCTCTCTGCTAGCATTGTTTGCACCACTGCAGGGCGGAACGGGGATTGCCGGGCAGAGCAGAAAAGGGGTGGGTGGGTAGGAGGGACAAGGAGTTTAGAGCGACCCAGGGAGGGGTGCCCTTCGTTGGGCTCGCTGCTGCTACCACCCCTTCAAGCAGCATCGTTTGCACCATCGTAACGAGGATTGAGAGGGGCGGAAGGGAAGGAAGGGCGGGGTGGGGGGGGAGGGGGGGTAAGAGGAGGCGAAATGGACTCTAACGAGCTCATTGCTGCCACCACCCTCTCATAAACAGTACACACCAAGACAGGCATCATCCCGCCTCAAAAACAGTCACATGAAGTGGAGAGAGAGAGGGAGCTGTACATGCAGCGGCAGCCTGCGTGGTGGAGAGACTCGTGTTGACTGGCACGACCTCAAGGCTCAAGCGTGTAGTCCAGCAACAGCTGGTCGTCGTTGTGTTGGTCCTTGCCCACCTGATTGGTGGAGAGAATCGTACCTGCGGCGGCAGCCTGCGTGGTGGAGAGACTCGTGTTGACTGGCACGACCTGAATTGTGTAGTCAGGCAACAGCTGGTCGTTGCCGTTGACCTGCGCCTCGGCCAGTCGCACGGCTACACGTGGACAGGGAGGCAAGAAAGTGGGGAGAGGGAGGGGAAAAAAGCGACGGTGGAGTGATTGTGTATTAGAACAAAGAGAGGGCTGCTGTGGGCTTTTATAATGAATCTCCCAGAACAACTATGCGTCTAAGCTTTGGCCTTGAGCTTTCAGGAATAAACACTAAGAGTAACAACGGGTGAGTAAAACGGGACTGCGTGGACCCGTAACGACCTTCTTCCCGTCATTTCCAGCAGAGAAGCTGCTGCACTGTCGGCTGCGGCAGTGTTGACCGTCACATCTCTGACGGCAAGACGCACGCACCGTGTTCCTCGATGTGGCTTTTGAGTCGACTCAAAAGTCTCGACTGCGGCTGTGTTGACCGTCACATCTCTGACGGCAAGACGCACGCACCATGTTCCTCCCCCCCCCCCCCCCCTTCCCCCCTCCATTTCACCTCGGCACGGCATTTGTTGCTACAATGGCGAGCGCGGTTATATTATGTTTTATACATCATAATAAATTTCACCTTTGTATATGGCCTGGCCGAAAGGAATCTCCAGCGGCACGAAGCAAGCCACCTTAATAACCTGTTTCCCGCCATTATCTGCTGCAGCTGCTGCGCTATAGACAGTTGACGGCGCGGCTGCTAACGAGGACGCTTCTGGCGAGGCGACAGGAGCAAGGGATTCGGCTGTAACGGTGGCTGGTAGCCCTATAAAGGACAATGTGAGTGCTAACCAGAGCATGGCTGGTAACCCTAACGTTACGAGCAGCTTCTGTTGATGACATGAACACGAATACTTAAATAGGTTCATCCTTCACAGAAAGTCTGACTCCTGATTACGATAACGGAAAGTACAGGACGGAACAGGACGCCAAAGGCAATGCCGGAACAGCAGGACGCCGGACTACTTAGCCGGCTATTCTGCCAACGGGACACCAGGACAGCCCATGTCACTACGAGTTGAAATAGAGACTACCCGTCGCTTCCAATTATCAGGAATTCCGGCATCTGGTTGCCATACGAACAAAGTTATAAATAGGCGACTATGCCAGTCTCAGCAAGCTGACAGAAAGTTCGCGAAACCCTACTTTGGTGGTGCTGAGTCCCCTGCTCAAGAGGACTGTTCTGCACGACACAACACAAGCAAACGGAGCTGTAGGAGGAAATGAAACGAAAGCATTCTCTAGGTCGGTAGGTCGGGGATACTGTACAGCGGAAATTGGTTGTGCCGTTGCCTGACAGTCAAGTCAACAGTACGGACTGCGACAACGGCATTCCCTTTTACCTGCCTCGAGCTTGTCGCAAATGATCCTCCGCGCGTCACCATTGGTGGAAAACATCACACCAACCATTCGCGAAAGCTCACCAGAGCCTGAGGCCTCACGTCGACCACAGAAAACTGTGCGGCATCGATGTTGTCGAATGGGCGGGCGACCAGTTTCTGTTCGGTGGCGGTGGGCAAAAATCAAGGCGTACGAATTACTACACTCTGTCTTACTAGCTGTTACGAGTGCAATTGAGTGAGCGAGCGAGAATTGCACTATCTAAGCAAGAGTACAATGAGCGAAGGCATGAGCGAAGAATATATAGCGAAACTACAGTGGTAACGGTAATGGACTGTGGTTGTCGCGCGACGGGCCTGGGACTGAGGTTGGGGAAAATGTCGAAGCGGAGGCCCGGAGCGCGGGTTACCCGCCGAGCCGTGAGGTTGGGGTGCGACGTGCGAAGGCGGCGGGAGGATTTGTCGATGCGAGGGTTGCGAGTGGTAACGGTGCTGACTGTGGTGCTACAGTGGTGTACGCGCTGAGCGGGGACGCGAAGTAAGGAAAAGGAATTTTCCTTACACTACCCCCTCCCCTAAGGAGGTCCTCCTTACCAAAGCGCGTGTACATCTCTGAAATTTCGGCTGCGCAGATACTCGGTGAGGACGGGGTGGTTTTCGATTCTGTCCAGGGGAACCCAATTGTCTTCGGTGGGTGTACGGTCTTTCCAGCGGATCAGGAACTCGATCCTTTGGGCTCCTTGAGGGTCACGAACTCTGTGGCTCAGGATTTTCTCGGGGGTGATGATTGGTTCAGTCGGCGGTCGTGTCATGCTGGTTGGGCGATTGCGTGGCAGTTGGCTCGTGGACGGACGTAAGGGCGAAGCAGGCTGACGTGGAATGAGGGGCTGACGTACCAGTCAGCAGGGAGGAGGAGGTGGGCGGTGACGGGCGTAATCATGTGGCTTATGCGAAATGGCCCGCAGTATCGGGGGCGGAGTTTTGGGGTGATGGGCAGTCGGAGGTTCTGAGTGTCAAGTAAAACTAGGTCGTCGGGCTGGTAAGTGACAGGTCTGCGGTGGTGGTCGGCGTTACGTTTAGCGATGATGTTGGATTTTTTTATTGCGTCTGCTGCCCGGGTCCGTGCTGCTTGTAATATTTCAGCGAACTGTTGTGCTCGTGGCACTGGGTTGTCGGGACTCGGGGTCATGGGTACTGTCGGGTCTTGTCCGTAGTTTAGGTAAAATGGTGACTGTTGGGTCGTGGCGGATGGCGAGTTGTTGTACGCGAATTCGATGAGTGGCAGTTGCTGTTCCCACGTGGTCGGGTCATCGCACGTGGCCCGGATGAGCTGTTCCATGGTCTGATTTGTCCGTTCTGTCTGTCCGTCGGTTTCGGGGTGGTATGATGAACTGAACTGTAATCGCGTGCCGAACTGCTGCCACAGGTTCCGCTAGAAGTTGCTGGTGAATTTCGTGTCGCGGTCGCTGATGATCGCTGCTGGTATCCCGTGTAATCGAACGATGGTGGCGATGAAGAGGCGAGCTGTTTCTTCGGCTGTGATTGGTTTCTTGCATGCTGCGAAGTGTGCCATTTTCGTCAGTCGATCGACGACGACCAAGATCGCGTCGTTCCCACTCGCCCCGGCCGGTAACCCCGTGACGAAGTCCATCGTCACCTGCTGCCAAGCACGCTCTGGGGGTGGTATCGGCTGCAACTGTCCCGCCGGCCGCTGTCGTGATGATTTCATGAGCTGGCAAGTGGGACAAGATGCCACGTGTCGTTGTACGTCGGTCAACATTTCGGGCCAGTAATAATACCGCTGCAGCTGCTGCCGTGTTTTCTCTACCCCGAAATGCCCCGAGGTAACTCCGTCGTGTGCCTCCTGTAACAGTAATTCTCGTAGCAGTGTATACCCAGGCACCCAGATGCGGTCGGTCCCGGTTTTTACGTAATAGACTCCCTTTGCTGCTGCGAACTGCTGCGAATTTCCTCCTGTAAAGAATGGATCCGTTTGGTACCCGTGGGTAAATAGGCCTGTCAGTAGTGGGCTTGTCTGGGCGAGTAGTATTGCGTGGATCTGGGCAGTGGGGCGGGTCAGTGCGTCGGCGATGTTCGAGGCTCCTTTTTTGTAAGTGACCATGTAGTGAAAGTTGGACTCGAGAAAATCGAGCCAGCGAATCTGTCGTGGGTTGAGGTGTGGCTGTGCGCGGAGATACTGTAGTGATTTATGGTCTGTCCGTATTGTCACGTCTGCGCCGGTCAAGTAACAGCGCCACACTTTGAACGCGTGCACGATCGCAAGCATTTCGCGGTCGTGTATCGGGTAATTTTTTTCGGGCGGATGCAGTTTTCGTGACTCACCCGCGATCGCCTCAGCGTAAGAGCGCGGGGTCGAGATGTCTGGAGCATCCGGGTCTCCCTCAAGTGCAATCACCATGGACACGAGATGAGGTACAGCAGCGGCAAAGCACTCAAACTCCTCCTGCCTGTCCTCAAGGACGTCCGTGCCAAGAGCACACTCACCCCCGACGGACGGAGGACAGACAGACTCAGACTCAGCAACAAGACTCGCAGCGTAGTCTAGACGACAGTGAGCAGCAAAGTCGACAAGCTCAGTGACCAAGGCAGACGCAGCAGCGGACTCAAAGGAAGGGTCAGTGACAACAGTGGCCAGGAGACGCGTGACAGTAGGACTAGCAGCACGAAGAGAGTCAGACTCCGGGTCAGCAAGGGCAGGAAGAGAGGACACAGAAGGAGACGGCAGAGGGGCACGCTGTGGAGCAGTAGAAGGACGCAGAGTCATATAGTGTGTGCAAGGGACAGGCGGAGGACGCTCACGCGGAACACGACGACCAGTACGAGCAGCACGAACAGGTGACGCAGAACGAGACTCAGGCGACACAGGACGAGACTCAGGCTCACGACGCTCTGTAAGACCGCCTGTCGGACCAGTGTAGGGTGAAGGACCAGGGAGGGGCGAGGCAGGCGGTAGCTGTGACTGCGACTGGACCGGCGGAGGACACTCTAAGGAGGGAGCAGGACCAGGAGGAGGCGGCTGACCAAGAACCTGCTGAAGGAGCGGAACGAAGTACGGCCGCGGCCGTGAAGCGCCCCCAGAACCAGCAGAGACAGCACCAGAACCTCCAGCCGCACGAGCTCCAGCCGCACCGTCGGCCCCAGTACCCGCAGGGCGACGAGCGCCAGCACCTCCAGCACCAGCCCCTGCAGCACCACTAGCCTCAGTACCAGTAGGACCACCAGCGGCCCCAGGAGCTCCAGTACCTCCAGCAGCACCAGAAGCACCTCCAGCAGGACCAGCACCAGCAGCACCTCCAGCAGCTCCAGTACCTCCAGCGGCACCAGCAGCACCTCCAGCAGGACCAGCACCAGCACCACCTCCAGCAGCTCCAGTACCTCTAGCAGCACTAGCAGTACCTCCAGCAGCACCAGCACCAGCAGCACCTCCAGCAGCTCCAGTACCTCCAGCAGCAGCAGGGCCTCCAGTGGGCGGCACCTCAACACTAGGAGCTCCACTCCGGAGGGTGCAGCGCCGAGCGTACCACTCACGTAGCCGCTGAGGGGAGGGAGGCTCCGGCCGCGACACTGCACCCGCAGGGCCACCAGCCCCAACTCCAGTAGAACCCCCAGCTCCAGTAGCCTCACGCCGGAGGCTGTAACTCTGGGAGTACCACTCACGCAGCTGCTGTGAAGAGGGAGCGCCACCAGGCTCAGCACCCCCAGTCTCAGCACCCCCAGGCTCAGCACCCCCAGGCGCAGCACCCCCAGGCTTAGCACCCGCAGTCTCAGCACCCCCAGGCTCAGCTCCCGCAGTCTCCGCACCCCCAGGCTCAGCACCCCCGGTCTCCGCACCCCCAGGCTCAGCACCCCCAGTCTCAGTACCCCCAGACCCAGCACCACCAGGCTCAGCACGCTCAGCACCTCGCGCAGGACCAGAGTCGACAGCTACCTCGACAGGCTCGACCGGGTCTACCTGGGAAACACCTGAGGGAGCAGCACCCTGGGGAGGGAGGGGGTCTACCGACGGGACACCTGGGGTGAGGAAGAGCGGCGGGGGGGAGAGCGGGGCAGTGCGGTAGGGGAAGAGACGGTAAAAGGGTACCGACTCGTCAAAAGTGACGTCCTGAGAGGGGAAGATACGACGCGAGGTGGGGTGGTAAAACCGCCAGCCAGGCGCGTCAGGGAAAAGCCAAGGAAGACACAGGGAACGGCACGGGAGGAGAGCTTGTCCGCAGACGTATCGCGGACAAAGGCTCGACATCCCCAGACTCGGAACACCGACGCATCGCCAACCTCCCCCGTCCAACGCAGTGTGGGCGAGGTCTCCGGAACAGAGACACGGGGCCAGAGGTTGAGCTGATGCGCGGCGTACTGCACTGCAAACGGCCACAGGAAATGGGGGGCAGCTGCATGGATCATGGAGGTACGAGCGACCTCCATGACTAGACCAATGCGGCGCT